GTTTTCGGGAGTGCGGATACTATATTTGTAAATAGAGCCCACCCTCTAGGGGGAAGTAACAATGCAATTATTGCACACCTACCAAATGACGCCGACATCTACTATATTATGTCACGTGTAAGAGAGTTAAAAGGCACCGGTTATTCAGTGCATAGAGACTATCCTAAAGAAGTGCGTGAAAAACGAGCATGTCTGTCAAAGCTTAGAGACGAAATTGAAAGTGTGGCGGGGAAACAAAAGAATAGGATATCATTATATTTCGACCATATGACTTTCAAAGGACATCGGTTCACATGGGAGGGAGGTGAACTAAAGGCAGGCAACCAGGATGGTGCTCAATTGTTGCAGACACTCTTCAAACGTGATTTTTCAGACTTCTTACGTGATCTTAAAGTACCCAGATCAACAGTAGTGATGGACATATCAACAGAGAGGACAACAGCTCCAACAACGCAGGGGTCGGCGAGTGCTACGGGTACGTCGCAGAACGTGTCAGTTTCAACACCTACGCAGTCGCCTCGCGTTTCCAACCAGGACAATGAATGAGGAGGTGACGCCAATCCATCTACAGAGGGACTAACTCCAAACCACAACCCAGCGACGACCGGACTTACTCAATTCAAGGTTTTATCTTATAACGTTTGTGGATTAAAAAATAAGGTAAATGATTTATTATTTTTAGAGTTCATAAAGGAGTTTGATTTAATTATATTTTTAGAGACATTTGTCGCGGAACATGATCAAGATATTATTGTAAATAGGTTAAGTAACTTTGATTTAACTTTTACTTTCGCAGTGAGAACTGCTAATGTTGGTAGATATTCAGGTGGTCTAGTTTACGCATTAAATCGTAACTCTCATTTTATAAGCGATGTAACGTTTGTAAACTTTGAATATTTTAATGTGGTTAGGCTCGACAATATTGTTGTTGGCTGCGAGCAATTGTTTATAGTGCCTGTTTACCTAAATTTCAATTGTTGGCAAATAGATTATAATAGGCTACAAAGTTTCTTTGATAATAGCTGTTTCCAGAATATAGTCCTTATAGGGGATTTAAATGGGCGTATTGGAATAGAACAGAGTTTTTCTGAAAATATAATTAGCATTTCGAATAATAGGATTGAGGACATTAGACATTCAAAAGACAACATTTTAAATTCAAATGGGCGTAAAATATTAGATTTGTGTGACAATTTAGGATTAGTAGTTTTAAACGGAAGGTCCATAGGGGACAAAGAGGGTGAATTTACTTTTGTTGGACATAGGGGTAACTCAGTCATAGATATAGCAGCGGTCACTTTTAATTGTTTACATTCGATTCACGACTTCAAAGTTGTTGGTTTTCCCGGATCAGATCATATGCCAATAGAAGTAAGTTTATTGGCCACTCCTGGGCCAGTGGGAGGGGGTGCAGGAGAGGGGAAAACTATACCATTGTTGCCAAAGCTGAAATGGACGAATTTTGATTGTCTGAACTATACTAGCAAAGTTGAGGAAAGTATGAAATCTTTTTCGCCGCAAACTGTTAATGATGTATTAAATGTTATAACTAATTCTGCACATTATAAGCTAGGTTCAAAGAGTAATACACCTTTTGTTGGTAAACAACCTTGGTTTGACTATCATTGTTTAAACGCCAGAAAGAGAGTGTTTAAACTGTTACAGCTTTTTAGACAAACCAATTCAACTGAAATAAAGGCTAAGTATGTTGAGGAGCAGAGGAAATATAAACAGCTATGTACAGGAAAGAAGAAGGAATACAACTATTCTTTAATCTCAACTCTTACTGTGTCTAAAGATTCCAAAACGTGTTGGCGAGCAATAAACTCGTTTAAGTGTAAAAATAACATAAACCGAGTAGGAAATATAAAACCTGAAGAATGGGTTACACACTTTAAAACTTTACTAAATCCTCTGGTGGAGAGTACTATCTCGTTTGCAGAACCTTTTATTGCCGATGATTATCTTGATAAAGACTTTGATTTCCTAGAATTAAAAGTTGTTTTGTCCAGCTTGAAAAATAATAAAGCACCGGGCCTAGATAGAGTCCCATATGAGTTTTATAAGAATGCCCCAGACCTATTTTTGACTAAACTACTTAGTATTTATAATGACATTTTTCGGAATAAGGTCATACCTGAAAGCTTTAAGAAATCGATAGTTTTTCCATTGTTTAAAAAGGGTGATATTAATTCAGTTCAAAATTATAGAGGATTGTCTTTTATAAATTGTATTGGTAAAATATTTATAGGAATGCTAAATAATAGACTTACAAATTGGGTCAATGAAAACCATATCTTATCGGAGTTCCAGGCGGGTTTCAGACAAAACTATTCCACTATAGATAATATTTTTAATTTGGCATCGATGATCAAACTACGTTTAGCGGAGAAAGGTGGCAAATTGTATGCATTTTTTGTGGATTTTTCAAGTGCGTTTGACACTATTGATAGACGATCGCTTATGTTAAAACTTTCATCAATCGGCGTATCAACGCACGTTTTAGATGTTTTGAGGAGTTATTATTGTAACACATCTGCAGCGGTTTGGTGTAAGGGCGGCATTTCAGATGAGTTTGAGACAAAGACAGGTTTAAGACAAGGATGTATAGGAAGTCCTCTCCTGTTCAGCTTATTCGTAAATGATTTGCCAGAGGTGCTGGAAGGTGGCTGTAATTTCGGTGGAAAGAGAGTAAATGTTTTGATGTATGCAGACGACATCGTATTGTTGGCCCCCACAGCAACAGCATTACAAATGATGATTAAAAACTTGGAGTGTTACAGTTCAATTTGGAACCTTACAGTAAATATATCCAAATCCAAAATAATGGTTTTCAGGAAAGGTGGTAGATTATCAGTACATGATAGATGGTGGTATAAGGGCAAACAGGTTGAAGTGGTAGATAGTTATAAATATTTGGGAATGTTATTTACAACGACATTGTCATGGGAAAAACATTTCATAGAGAAGAGGAGGCTAACTAATTATGCAATTAATTCAGTATGGCAAAGGCTAGTAGACAACAACAAAGTCCCGCTGCAGATTAAAATATTATGCTTCGAATCTATTCTCAGAGCTATTTTGTGTTACGGCGCACAAGTTTGGGGGTTTTCAGAAATTTCTCAGTTAGAAAATGCTCAGAAAACGTTTATTAAAAGGATGTTTAGATTGCCACATAACACTCCCAACTATATTGTTTACTTAGAAACATGTTTTGAAAAGTTGTATTTCTTTAATCTACAAATTAACGCAACATACATTTTTAAGGTTTTTAATATGCCAGAATCACGTCTACCAAAAATTATTGCTAAATCTGTAATTGGAAAAGGTATTTTTTGGGCCAAAGAGTGGAAATGTCTAGGGCGAAAACACGGTTTGGATATTAATTTCGGGTCAGCAGATGTTTTTGAGGGATTAGTGAAGATAATTGAGGCGGAAAGAGATAGCTGGAGAATTGATATGGTTGGCAGAGCGCGTACATCGCAATATCACCAACAACTGCTTGCCGTTGACCTTGACCTAGGGCCCAGGAGTTTTCTCACTGATAGCATCAATATAAGTCTTATCTCATGGGTCATAAAGGCCCGAGCAGAGCTGGTTGATTTGAATCACAAACCATGGATAACGAATAAAAATCATTTCTGTAGTTTGTGCAATTTGCGTGAATTTGAAACAGTTTTTCATTTTGTTTCTATTTGCCCAATTTTAGGTGATATCAGGGAGTATTGGTTTGGAAAACGAAGCATGCATTGGGAAGAACACATAGAATACATAAATGGTAGGGATTGGCGTAAATTAGCAAACTTTATGAGGGAGGCGTGGAGAAGGAGGTGGGAGTTAATTAGAGAATTTAATTACGAATAAATTAAATGATTTTTTTTTTTTTTCTTTTTTCAAATTCAAAATTGTTTTATTATTTTTCCAATTTATAAATTAAATCAAAACAATAATTATGTCAAACAACTTGTCAGCCTGTCTTCTTAAATATTCATAGTAATTTTTATAGTTTTCATTATGCGTAAACCTTTTAAATTCTAATAATTTTAAAAATAAAATAATAAAAGTTATGTAAACAATATTATGAAAAATGTATTTTTTTTAGTTTTGTTGAAAATGGATGTAAAGTTGTATGTAAATTTGTATATGTTAGTAAGTGTATTTTGTTTCAACTTAATTTTCATAAATGTGTTTTCCAGGTGTGCCAACCAAACAGACGGTCGTAGACCATTGTTTAATTAAGTGTATGCTTATGTTTTGAGAGGAATGTTTATGTTAAAATAAAGCACTTTATTCATTCATTCATTCATTCATTCATTCATTCATTAGTTCGTGGTCAGAACGTGGTCAGCGGGGTGCGAGGAATTGAAAAATGACTTTTAGCCTAACGTGTGATTAGGCATATTGGCTACACGAACGTGCGTAGACACCTACGTGGTTACTGGCGTGTTTGCACGTACAATCTTCAATCACGTCATCTTCACCAGAACCGTCCAGGGGATGGACATATAGCGTCAAATACTAACGCTTATTCATATTATTTATTCCTACTATTTGCATAAAAAAGGAAAACACAAAATTGGGATACGATGTTTGGCAGAGGTTAACTAATCATTAGCTATGGAAAATCACTAACATCTAGTAAAGTGGGTTGACCAACAGAACACTTTCAACCTATTCTTAAGAGGCTCAATTCTTTGAGATGGCCAGGGATGACGTGACAAACGTTTGTTGCTACTTCATAGAAACTTAACATGTTATAGAGACCCTTATAAATGTTGATTACCTTATTTTAGGTATGAATATGGCCTCTAGTGATACAAATTAATAGGTTTGACGTGAATTACAGGGCAAAAATCTTGAGTAAACTAAGGTTAAATTAATATAAAATGGAGTACTATGTACTAAAATTCGAATGTGTAAGTTCTATTGTATCATACAACGGATTTACTTGTAAATATTAATCATAAAACACATTTTTTAAACTTTGTTTATGCTTTCAGGCCGATGACGTTAAGATGGCTGATCTTCTTCGCTTGCGCAGTTTTTGCACAGTCAGATGATACTAGAGGTAAAATAGATATTTCTACTTATGAAATAATTGCTTTAGTGTGTCCACCCATATAACACTCTCTTAATTATCGAAATAAATCAATAGAATAAGTCTTGATGAAATTAATAGCCGCCGCTGAACTTTGATGCCGTTACTAAACCTCGACAGAATCCAATTTAACCAATTTGACTCCCGAGTAGATAACCTCCCTATCAGAGAATTTCTTCAACAATGCAGCAGAGGAAGCCTCTTTTGCCGACAAAGTAAAATGTCGTTAGATATGGAGAGAATGTGGCACTAAAATGGAGGGAGGAGGAGTGACTAAGTTAGCACAGCTGTTCTTTGGCTAATGATTAAATAGTTTCAATCTTAAAACTACGTGATGTTATCTGGTAAAACTCTTGTCGTGAACGAATACAACGATGTTTAATATTTTACTCAAGCACTCTAAGTAACAGCATTTTGTCAAAAACGCGTAGGTGAATATTCTTCTTTTTATTTTTCGTACTATAGAGTTAGGGATTAGGCCAATTTTATTAAAGCTGTTTGTAACCTTAAACACTAATTACTGACTATAGTTTCTGGCCAAATAACAGACTGACGAATAGAAGGAATATAAACCCATTTCTCAACCTTATGGGTCAGCTACAGACAGTTTAAATGTGTACCTCATTATTTCATTATTAAAACGCTCCTCAGTCATTAAAATTGTCAATTCTATACGTGTGATCCAAGAGTGGTAAGAGACTTCCACATATGTTATCAAACCCTTGCGATTCTTGTAGTCGTGCTACTTTTGGAATCTCGAGTAATTTCAAACAGGAACTCTTGAAAAAGAGGTTATTGACCCTGGAAATCCCCAACGACCTTTATAAGACGAGACCTTTTTGACCTGCGCAATGTGCATTTTAGTCTGCAGACGTTGAAATTTGCATCAAAATCGGGTTCTACTCGGCCGCACAGCAGGGGTGCTAATAAACTGACACCTATCTTCCCTCTTTCTATCTCCTTTTAGTTGTCTTTTTCTCTTAGTTTCTTCTCCCACTTTTGCCCTTTCTCCTCCTTCTGTTTATCATCAACTATACGACTACCCAGAAGCGGTTTTCGCAAATCTTCTTGAGTATTTTGCAGACTTGGAAGTGGGAGAGGACGGCAAATATGCAAATGTTTGGATGTTTTGCATGGAAGTTTGATACAGATCTTTTCAGTGCTGTGTGTCAGGAGGACATATGTTTATGGGTTGTACGAATGCTCGTATACGATGTGAGCTTTAAATTAACAACTTAACTCCAGGAAATTGTTTTTTGGTTAAAATAAAACGAAAATAAAGAATAACATCTTTCCAACAATTGCCTCCAAGTCCAAAATATTTTTCAAAAGTTGCTTCGTTAACTAGATATCTGACATTTTTGTATTTTAGTAATTCAAATTGTCATCTCTAACACCAATATTCATATTTATGAAATTCAATATACGATTTAAAGTAGAAATAAACTATTTGCTAAAAAATATCACTGAAAATATATTTTTGTTTTAATAACTTAAATGACAATGAAATTGAAAAAAGTCTTAAACACTTTCATTTATAATCGACAATTTTCTATGAAATGACACCAAATTAAAAAATATCAATGAACAAATAGCTGATTTCAAGATTTTTAGTAGTAAAATATGAAGTGCAACCAGACTAGCTTAGTTTGATTTTGTCTCATTTTACAACCAAAATCGTGATATAGTTACTATGAATATAATTACTTGAATTTTTAACTGGCAAAGTATCTAAAACATAAATATCTAAAATTCTTACATATATAGTTGGAAATTGCATAACATTTTAGACTGAATATAGAGTTGCATTTCCATAAACTTTTTAGTTCAGTTCACAGTCATAAGTCATAAAGTGATCGTGGAATTCCATTGGGTGAATAATCAAATGAGGCTGCTCTAGGGCCTTCTTCAGCTACAGCGTTTCTTCAGAGGCATAAAGTTGTAGATTCGTGCGGGCCCAGGTGTAGTCGTATCAGATCTTTCTAATAACAGGTTGTTTGCAACCGAAGCAGTGACTTAGCTTCTGCTCTGACCCGTTGGCAAACTAGGAGGCGTAAATATCATCATCAATTCGATATCAGCATTCCACTACAATACGGGATATTATTCAAATTCGGCTGTTCTGTTTAGTAGGGTTCAAAGAACATTGGATTGATTTGATGGATACTTAACATGTAATATCAAAGAATGCCAGCAAATACAGTTACCTACTTTTAGAGATAAAGTATATACTTTGAGGTGACGCAATTCACATATTTTCGATGCCACTTAGAGGTTATATTTCATCTCCATTTTTTTGGTTCTTTACTCCCTCTAAAATTATGATTTGAATTTATTTCTCTGAGGACTAAATGTTCAACTCTGAGTGATAAATATTTGGATGTTTGAGAATATGTTTTCTGTTTATTCCAAAGCATGATCCATATACAAGTAAACAACTGTTGACATGCCCACTAAGCTTTGAAATCAAATAATTAAAAGTGGTTAAAAACGTTTGAATTTCAATTTAGTTTAAGCCTATTGATCTTAAGCCACATGTATCGACTAAGTTTTTTCTTTAAATCGAATGATTTGTGTCGAGTTTAAAAAAACTATCAAATCGGTCTAGCTCTAGAGAATAACGGGCCACTGTCAGATAGAAGTCATTCAAATTGGATAGCCACTAGTTGACCATCCTGAGAACCAACACTGCAGATCAGATATCTTGGACGATGGCTTAACAAGCGACTTGTTAGAGATTGAATCAGCTGATTAAATAGCAAAATGATCAGCTGATTTGTTATCTGAGTTCACATGAAGAGTCACCACTAAATTAGTAATCTCTTTGACTAGGCCTATTTATTGATAAATGTAGATATGCATTCCCATGTTTAGGATGTAGCCAGTTACATAATAAAAATTGTTGTAGTTAATTCGAGGCACCGACCGAGTGTGCTGGTGACAATTACAATTGTTGATTTTTCTCCTGAATACACACACATTTTTCCAATCCAAATTTAAAGGGTTCTATTGTAAATCAAAGCATCTTTGACACATGTCATGTTATAGTACCAAACACTCAATTATAAATATTATTTGACACTAACACACTTTGAAAGCGTTTCATTCAACTATGTCCTATTTGATTAAATATAGACCGCAGCTAATTTATATAGATGAGTTGTATACTTGAATTATAAAGTCAATACACTCAAGCCTGTAAGCATTGTTCAAAATCTCTTAAAACCTCCTTTGTGTAAAACTCTAAAATTACTTTAACTTAGCTTTCCGAGATTGGCAATTTAAACGAAATGCCATAAGAAATGTGTGAATACTGTACACGTAAAAATGTCTTCAAGTGCACAGCTTATAAACATCTACATATGAAAACACTACGAAATTTTATTTTTAACTCAGTCGAAAGTTACCAGCTCAAAATAGTTATTATCTTGTTTGTAACCTCTCCTGAAAAAAATATAGTCTACAGGCACACTCACTCAAATATTAATTTTTTTTCCTAGGACGCTAGGCACGATCCTGGGATTGTTTTTCACATTACTGTACTTCAGGCTAGACCTAGGTTGCGGAATTATAGATAAAACCCATCTGTGATTTGGAGTGTAGGAGTTTTGCCAACGGGTATCAGGTAGAAAGGGTCCCCATCCGTGAATTCCTCATACTGCGGAGTTTTGCCAACGGTTGTGGGTTGCGCGAGAGGGGGAGAGGGAGAGAGAGAGATTACACGTCACCGTGAGGGTGGCTTCCGCTAGGGGTGGACAAACCAGGCAGGATGCTGACTGTGTTCAAAGTAATGCAGTTATGCACCTCTGACTGTGAAAGGAAATGTATTGAATTTTTAACCTAACCTAACCTAACCCACTGCGACAAGCGCATAACTGCCAAGCGTAGACAACCCTGACAATCGCTCTCCCTCCCTCCCTCACACCCTTTCTCCCACCACCACCGTTGGCAAATCTCCGCACCAAGAGGTAGCCGAAGGCATCCCCCCATCTACCTGACACCCGTTGGCAAAACTCCGGTACCCGTGATTTGGGGGGATTTAAACAAGGGACCTCAGGGGCCAAAGTCCAGCGCTCTACCAATAGACCAGCTTGCTGCCCTTAAATTAAAATAATAATAGTCAACGCTAATCGATGTTCAACCAGAAGATCCTTTCTAACTGCAAAGTATCCACTATATGCGCCTGTTAAATATCCACCTCCACTGTGGGGTCTGACCTCCACCTTCGCAGACCAGAGGTGACGCGGGCGGGCGAAGACCTGGCGACCCAGGGCGAAGTCTAGAGGTCAAAGGCGAGGAGGTCAAGGCCACTTGATGACCTGGTTAGATCCACTGATCCGCATTCTCTAGTCTTGTGTTCTTTGTGTGCAAATGTATAATTGGGTGAGAGGTGGCGTGCGACATCCTGAAATTGCTTTTTGATTGGCTGGCCTGCAGACAATTTGGGTGTTGACTTGTTTGTTATCCGTTGTGAAGATTTATAGGTTGGAAGAAGATTAAGTTTATATAGAGTTAACGGGTTTCTATTTCTTTATTTGTTGACCGTCTGATTTCGACGTTGAACTTTATTTTATAAACATTAGTGGATGCTAGAAATTTAAATCTACAGCTTTGACAGCAACCATTTAATAATGTTACAAATACAACTATGAAAAGAAAAGAAAAATAACTTGATTCAACAGGCACCAAGAGGGCCAGATGAGTCTTCCTTACACATAACCAGAACACACATAAACACATGATTCAAACCATACTAACTTCACGTTGAACATTCTTTTCTTTTGTCCAGGTTAAGCAAACAACATCCTTAACCATTCATCAACATTACAGTTATTAATTTTACGTAAAATCCTGACATTACAACCAAAGAGATCCTAATGGCTTTCTTCTGGTTAATATAATCTTCGTAATCTTCATAGTGCCGCCTATAACGATAGATCTATGAGTCATACAAAGTTTGAAAAACAAAT